GGGCACATTATACTTCCATGTGATTTCTGTGCGGTTGGTCTCTACGTGACATACTTAGTGGAAACCTCATAGGAAGCGGTGAGTGTGCAAAGCTGTGTTCAAAGTGATTGAAATCTTGCTTTAGAGTTTCTTTGTTTGGTTATGGAGGCGTCTGGCCGAGTGGATTGCTGTCAACTTGACCTTTCCAGGCTCTGAGGAAGGCGAAATCCGCCGAAACGTCAGCTTAATCGTGAACAAAGAATAATAACACCTCGCGTTTGCTCAACAAAAATACGAAGAAAATTACTTGGTCAATGCCGAGGTTAATAGAAAGTCGGTCGTGTCAATTTATGGAATTCAGTGGGTTGTAATTCATATCAGATGGATATTGCTATCAATGGGGAGGATAGCACAGTAGTAGTTGTGATGTCGGTCATCACAAGCATGGCACTAGTTCGATTCTGCACCAGGCCTTTCATCCTCCGGGGTTGGGAAATTTGTACCGAACTTGTCCGGGAAAAAATCACTCTCTGCAATCTAGTTGGGAACGCTCCAGCCCGGCTATCTCAGAACTCCAAGAAGAATCAAATCGACCTGGATTCTACGATAATCAAGATGAGATGAAAATCCTCAACTAGTAGCCGAAGCCACACGTAAAGTTTGGAAGATCTTCGTAGACAGTGGATACCAGGAAACGAATCGAATGTGAGAAGTGCTGGTATTAGCACAGTAGCCGTGAAGACGGGTCATATAAAAATATAAAAATAAAGAAAACAATTCATACCAAAGGGAAATAATACGAATTCATATTGTGAACTGTTCAGCAAGATTCGTACGAAGTTGGATATACAAACGGTATATTCAGACATTCTAAATATTACCATAGGAAAACATCCGCAATCATAACACTAACGCGGCGGAAAGTTAAGGGCGAAGTGCTGCAACCGGAAGCTCCACGCAACTTCGTTTGGGTTTTCCTCGAATGGAAAAGAAAGAAAACTACTATTTCGAGAACTCACTTTTGTGGTGAAGTTATATACATTGCTGTTCTCATATGGTCCCACGCCATAGAAATGGAACTGGTCCGGACTGGCATACTTACGCTTAATGCGTGAGTGTAAGGACATTCTTGGATTTGTCGCGAAGTCAAACATCATCAATACCCAACTTTGATGTGATTTTAGATTATCGTAGTATTCTGGAGCGATATGGCGAATCTAAATGAGCGATTACACGTCCATTATAAGAAGTACAATTCCTCGGACAATTACTATGTGGTGCCATAAATAGAGGAATTGTAACATAAATCATATAAATTGTACTAAAAAGCCATTGCCATAGAAAATGTAAAGAGGAATGAGCACTAAATTAATATTACCTGACATACCAAATTCACCGGAAAAGCCCCAAGTTCGAAAATTTTCACGTAAATTTTTAAACCAACCTTGGGTAAATTAACACCAGAAACGAAAGGAAAGTCGTGGTGCTCCACATGATATCCAACATTGAATGTAACGAGATTGATCGGTCCATAGTAACTAAGGAACGAAGTAAGCATAGTAAATGAAAAGCAATGGAAAGGGAACTCTGTGACCGAAAAACAAGCATCGAAAGAAGTGAGGCGATTAGGTTTACCTGTAAGTTTCTTGCCCAGGTTGGAAGACGTAGTGCTCAGAAACGAAGTGACCAGCAAGTGGATGTAACCCCAAACCGATTATGAAACCACCGAACAAGAACACAAATGATTTAACACCAAAAACGGTGTAGATGAAATAATCGAAGCATAATTGCAATATGATATTAGCCAGCTCCAAATCCGTTAATGACTAAACATAGCGAACTGAGTTAAGCTGGGTACCTAGTACAACAGCACCCTTAGTAAATGCTAGTGATATAAATGAAACAAAAATTCAAAACATCTTTACTGTGAATTGGATAGCTAACCTTGGGATAAACGACTAGAGGGCGAACACCGTAGAATACTGGTTGTAAGAGCATCCAAATAAGCTTCCGGAACGTCGTACAAAATACTCGAGCTTCCCATTCAGTTGGTACATCTGTATCTATTACATCCTCTCCTATAAGATTTTTACAGATGGTGATTTAGAAACATGTAATTATAAAATCCTAAGTTGCATGTAATATCCTTAATATATTTTCAAAAATTAATGTGAGTAATGCGGAGCACTATCCTAAATTTCGGTTGGCTTCTCCATTTTTCGCTGCTTTGTATATGTATATATATATATATATATTCATATATATATATATATGTACATGTCTATAGATATACATATATATATATATACATATAAATATACATATCTATGAAATATACACATATGTGTATAACTAAATTTTTGGATGGTAAGTCCTCACTGGCTGTGCGGACCCCAGCACAACCTCCATCCTCTCGTCTCGAACCCTTGCTGATCAACTCACTGTGGTTTCGTGGAGTCCTGAGGTCCGCCTGGCCAAAGACTGCTCTAAGTCGTCACTACTACTGGGAACCGCCCGTCCTTGTGGGTCAGAGTGAGAATTGCCAGCATGCGACTAGTTTGTTGCCACGACTGTGGTGGATCCTGGTATTGGTTAACTCTTAGCTGGGCTTCCTGATGGAAACGCTGGACGACTTTTTCTCAGCTTGGGAGACTCTGCCGCGGAGCGAGATCGGAGGGATACTGCCTCCAGCTGTACATGGCAGCCCAACACCCAGGAACACCTCCCAGCCACGATGATTCGGTAAACCGTTGGGAGGTATTATGTGTATACATATGTAAAACAGGTGGCAACGCAACCAGCATCTACAGAAGTGATCGAGATAGCAATTTAATTTGGACGCGTGCTGACGATTTGTAATCATTAACATGTCTGAATACTGCTGAACTTGACCTTCCCTGATATTACAAGGAATTCCTGGCCGGGTCTTATCAGATTTTACTACAAGCGGCGCTCATACAAGCAAATAGCAGGGAGGTGTCCTGCCTTGCGGATAACATTCCTAAGGTGATAGTAGCTCCGTCAATTATTCAGGACTTGCAATCATGTTACGCTCTAGTGCAGCTTTCTCAGGATTGCAAGGGAAAGCACGATAGACAAGCGACCAACACGTTATTGGGTAAAAAGTACGATGCATCATGAAGCCATATCTAAACTCCATACATAAAATTAACCACACCATGTATATCTAAATGAATATATGTGTATAAAAAGCTGAGAGCAAGGCGAAGCGAAGGGCATGCAACGTGGTGTGGTGCTGAACGTGTTAGCCCCCGAAAAGAGTAGTAGCGCGTCTGTTCCTCATCTCAGACACCTGCGGTCCGGAATTTTTCAAATATTTTAGCATAACTGCGTATGTGTAGATTTAACGCTCTGTAATCAAACAAACCGAGGTTCCTATGATGTTCAATGTGATATTTCTTAAATGATACTGACATTGGAATACACATTGGAAGATTAGCAATGAAGCCGAACAAACGATTCTGCAAAATGAAGAAATAGTGGGAATTCTCTATCCTATCATAGATAGAAGTTCATTAAAATAAAAACGCACAGCTAAAGGTCGATAAGTTCCAAATGCTTGGTTGTGGCTGATTTCATGCACTGCTAAAGTTAGAGCATGGTTGAACGTTCCAGACACAAAATATGCTTGTAGCAACACCAAAACCCAGTCGGAATCTAAAAAACTGGTTTGCATATTAAGGTGAGGGAAGGAGGATTCGGTTACATACGAGTCACTTAAGGGAATAAAAGCTCCTGATATCTGTATGGTCTTATTCGCTAAGTCACTGTGGAAGCCTTGATCAAAGATTGTGTGTTCTACTGTGTAAATACGTCTTTTGAGATAAAAATTATAACATAGTAATCACAGCTATACAAAGAAAAGCAACAACCAAATGTTCATAAGGATCTATAAAGAAGGAATACCCTAGTAAGTAAGTATTAAAAATGCAAGGACAGTCAGAGCATCGTCATTTAGATGAGCCGGTGGATTAAAGTGTGCCAAACAGATTTCCAAATTCTCCATATTCTTGCTGAGCAAACACGAGGTGCTATTTTATTCTTTATTCACCAATGAGTTCACGTTTCGGCCGATTTCGCCCTCCTCAGAACCTGGAAAGGTCAAGTTGACTGCAATCTACCCAGCCGAACCCTTCTATAACCAGACACAAAAAAATGCTAAATCAAGATTTCAATCACATTGAACACAGAATAGCTTCTTCGCACACTCACCGCTTTCTACGAGTCTTCCACTGAATATGTCACGTGGAGACCAACTGCAAAGAGTTTACATGGAAGCATAATGTGCCTCACACACGAAAACAACAGTCTTAAATACTGTCCAATATCATGCGTGATTATGAGGCATTCATCTCTGCGGTTCATTTTCAGATTCTTGGAAATAATCCAGAATGCCTCGAGAGGTTTGCGCGTTTGCGTTTGCGACTCCTGCACATGGATCCTCACTTATACTTCAAATCCTTCCCCGTTATGTCTCTGTGTCCTATGCGTGCCTAGTGGGATAGTTGATTTAACTTTAAGTTTACCGAATAGGTGTTCTTTTATATGGACGCATAGTGATCTACCCGTTTTGCCAATGTATTCGTCCACGCACGCTTTACAAGAGATCTGGTAGAACGTATCCCAAACTGTAATTGAAACAAGCTAATAAAAATAAGTCTTTAAGAGTGAGATAAAGCTATTCTGTGTTTGACATGATTGAAATCATAGTTTAGAATTTTCTCTGCTTGGTTATGGAACTCTTTGGCTGGGTAGAGTGCGGTCAATTTGACCATTCCAGGCTCTGAAGGTGAAATCCGCCGAAAAACCGGCTTATTCGTGAATATTAAAATTACAGTTAATAGTAATTAATCAGCATCAATAGAACAGTTTTCCAAGGTTGAAGCACTAAGTTCCATAAAAGATATTTGTTCATGAATAGACAAAAAAAGAACTTACCACGTAACAACCAAGCAAATAAGATTTGTGTTAGTACCATACATACAACCACAACTTTGAACGCTGGGTCCTGCCCGAATAGCTCTTTGATATGCGGGTACTTCTCCAGCATCTCTCGCCGCCTGAAATGAATGATCGCTGAACTTTCTAAAGAACATTGTTTCATGATCGATTTCCTTGCTCTCTATTCGTCAGGCAATAACAATCCAGTACAAATGCTAATGAACAAAGTCGTAACACTGACAAATTTACAAGGTCTATCGAAATTCTTGATCAGTCTGGAAATCAGTAAGAAAACTCGAGAAGATCAATTACTAGCAGAGGCCAACTGATAGCATTTCACGTGACGAAGTGTAAAACCTCAGTTTCCGCTTGCGGACAAAAATTCGTAGTAGAATTCCTTCGTATTCTTCTTTTAAAAAATTAGCTCCATGTGCCTCCCAACGTTTTACCGCCTCATCATGGCTCAAAGGAGTTCTTGGGTGTCGGTTGCGATGTATAGCGGGAAGATTCATCTCCCCTACAGGATCTCCCAAACTCAGAAGGAGTCCGGCGGTTTCATCATGAAGTCCAGCTAAGAGTAAACCAACACCAGGATCCACCGCCGTCATGGAGTCAAACTAGTCGCATGGTGGTTAACCTCCTTCTGATCCACAAAGGCGCGACTGCGTGTGGTGGTGACGACCTGGTGCAGGCATTGGCCTGGCTGATCTTGGACTCCAGCGAACTAAATGGCTAAATCAGCCAAACTCCCAAACAGTGGAAATAATGCTGGGGCCCGCACAACCAATGACGGCAGGTTGTCAAAGTATCCAAGTAGCCCCATGCGAGGTACGAAAGCAGTTAGGAATGCGAAAACAATCGATGCTCTGATGATACCAAAAACTTAATTACAAAGATCGTAATTACACTTATAACATTTACAACCGACAGCTATTGTTACTGTAGTAATAGCCTAAAACTGCGGAAACAAAACGACAAGCAAAATTATCCATTTCAACAGTTCCAGCGTGCAAGTGCTTTTCCATTAAAACATTCTTTTATTAATTCTCTTAGTATTCGATATGCGTGTAGCGCAGCGGTCGGAGGCGCCCTACAACATACATGGAATCGATCCCCGCGCCCATGGCCTACCAAGCCCTCCATCTCTCCGTGGTCGGCGAATTGGTACCAGACTTCTTTGGGAGGAAAGCAAACTGTGTCGATACATCCATAGATCACCGCGAGTCATTTTAATGGCCAGATATGCATTCAATCACCACCAACGATGCTTAATGAAGTCAAATGTGTAGCGGATCCTTTAGTGATTGAACAACGCCGATTGCTTTATCCCTTTTTTAATAATTAATATTCAGCTCACTGCCACTGTTCACATTCTCATATATTTCCTTCTTCCTAGTTCCCCATATCTGTGGAGGTTACTTTTAAAAATTGCTAAAATGATGGACAATGGCCCAGTACTCATTGCAGCAGCTGCAGTAACATGCGTCAATAAAAACTAACTTGATCTGTGTGAGTTTCATTCATCACCCTATGCGAACAATATCGGGTAACCTCACTGTTTACAAAGCAAAAAGAAAACGAATATTTTTTAACAGTTCAAGATGTGGTTTATGCATTAAACTCTTATCAAGACTGTGCAATATTCAACGAATAATAAGGTTTAGGCTAAATAATAACACTCTAGGCGCAAAAAGTAGGCAGAAGGTCTGGTCAAGCATCAAGAATCGAAGATACCGGTTAATCACCTCCACTAAAGTCATTAAGGAGAAAACAGAACTAAATGAGAGACAGATAAAACGAAGGACCCGAATTAAGTGTGTGAACGCGTTAACCTCGGACAGGGTAATAGCGTATTGGATCTCCGTCGCAGACACCTCCGGTCCGGAGTTTCACAAAAATCTCAGCATTATCATGGTCGTTAAGAAAAGTTTACAAAATACTATTAGAAAACTGCTTACTCGTAACATTCACCTGCTTGCGTGCGGTTCTTCATCGTACGACCACGCAAAATCGGCTTTCACAACGGCTTGACCCATCGGTCTGAAAAGTAATGGAGCTGTAAAGTTATCAACAAAGTCACCTTTTAAAGCTCATTAACGTAGCACTGTATATTTTGATATGAATAGGAGGAAAGTTGCTGTTCACAGAGCTCTTAACTACTAGGCATCTCACTGCTACGAAGGTTTTACATGAAGGGTGATGGATGAGCTGAAATCGAGCATATCAAAGAGAATCAAAGACATTGCCTGACCCACATCGCTGTTCTTCCAAAGAAAACGAAGAAAATGCAGAAAAAATTCCAGAAAAGATACCCTAAAACTACCATAACATGAAGTCCATACACATTAATCGGCTCTTGGGAAGATGTCGTTATCAAGATTATCGATTAAGAACACGACTCTGTAGAGAAAACACCTTCACGTCAAAGATATGAAGGTTGTGAGGTCAAGGATCACAAAGAGAATCTTGTCTCCGGGAGAGCTCCACCCGATTCTCTAACGCGGAATCGCGTGGGTCGTAGACGATCGCCAACTCACATCAACACTAACAACAAGCTGCAGAAAAGCGACAGAAGAAGATCTTAAGGAGAGAATAGATGGAAGAACTTCTGAAGCTCGGAATATGGCAGGAAGAGTACTCGCTACACCAGCCGAAGCTTCGCCAGTTGCAAGACGAAGATGGCCGTACTCGTACGCCAAGGCGGAGCAGTAACGGATCCCAGAAAGGCAATGGAAAGCATCATGCACGACTTCTGTTCTGATCTCGTCCGGACGTACGTCCTCATGACTTCATATGAAACGTTTGTCAGAAGGTATGACACCTAGGTGATGGGCTATCACCAGAATTGTGCGGTTTTACGAAGGGATATCTACATGACAATAGCAGATTTCGCCCAATCAATTTGTTGCAGGCCTACTACAGCCCTTAATCAGAGTCATCGTCAACTAAAAATATTGGACAAAGAAAAGTAATGCAAGCAAGCAGTGTTTAGAAGAAATGCATCTCCTTACTCCACATCCACACTAATTATGGAGCTCCCTGATGCATTGTTCTGCTATTTCCGTTCCCATCAACTTAAAGAACTACTTTAATTCTCACATCAAGAAGACGAAGAACTGTGGATCATCGACTCTGACCAGCGGGTCTGATTAAATACGAAGACATCGAAACGTTAGCCGAGATAAATCCCTTTATCAACCTCGTGTAAGCTCAACAACTTAAATACATATTGATTACTTCAATTCTATTGAGCGAGAAACCAAAAAACACGCGAATACTCGTCTATCCCTTAAACCCGTGACAGCCGTTTACATTAGAGAAAGCCTGGCATGCAGGAATTTCAGTCAGGGTTACCTAACTTAGCATCCTGTGCGTGATAATAGAAGCATGCCAAATCACGTGCGAGTGCTAAATCCAAGTTCTCACTTATCTGAACGATGAGAAATCATGCATGGATTCCCACACGTACACCCTAATAACAAGGGCGCGTGTGGCGTAGTGGTCGTGGGCGCCCTGCAACACACACTTAGGACCGAACCTTGCGCCCTTAGCTCACCAAGCCCTCCATCCCTACGGGGTTAGCAAATTGGTGCAAGACTTATCTGGGAGGATAGCAGCACTGACTCTATGGATCGGTAGGCCTCAGAGAGTCATTGTAATGACCAGATATGCATTCAATCACCTCCAACGGTGCTTAATGAAGTCGAATGCATGGCGCATCCCCCAGTGCTCGATCTACGCCGATACATTTACTTTTTTATCTTACATATTAAAGGTAACCGACGATCGAAGGCCGCTACTAGTGGGATTCTTAGTGACGTCAAACCCACACGAAGAAGAACAACAAACCATCATTGTTAGAACTGCTCTGCTCATTAAAGCATTAAACGAAAACCATGACGTCATTCGTGCTACTCGAACGTCGTGCAGATCCTGAATATATAAGAACATACGGTGGATCTCCCTCGAGTACGAGAACTGAAGGATTTATTCTGGAAACAGGCCAGTTAAATGCAAAGACAAGCTCGTAGCGGCTAACCCACATCCTCAGCAACCAAACACGAAATGGAATGACCTTCAAAAAATCGCTGTACTTCCAAGCAAACATCGAACGAGTCCCGGGAGTGAGAAGACTCTAAAAGCAAGGCAACAGATTCCTGGATCAGAAACCTAATGCAACGACAACAATGCGCAAAAAAAGACAGCAAAGATCTCCTATTTCTGCGCTAACCCTTTGGCCTTCAATGTTTTCCCAAGAACAAGGAGAAGGGATATCAGGGAACCATCAAAACATAGAATTGTACCCTAGACATCGATCCACTCAAGAAAAACCGCAGACGGGATATCATGAATATGCTGCCTTCCGAAGAAAACGATCAAAGTGTTCCTTTACAGAAAACATCTAACAACCAACGGTAACAGGACCGACCTTCTATGCAACTGGATGGATTTTCGTCCCAATCCTTGGAGATTCCTAATCATCAGTCCTTAGTCCTCGAGGAATTGTTCAAAGAAACAGGTTTCCGCTTACTCCAGTACCACACTCGCGATGAATTTTAACAAAAACGTAGTTCAAATGTGGAAACTTTTTGTTCCACAGCGTATCCATTCGCAGTCAAAAGCCGTGCCCAGCTGTTTTCCATCTCCAGAACGTATAAATGGAAGGGTTTTAAGGTTTACGAACTCCTTTCATGGGTAATACATCGAAAAGAATGAGAACAAGAGCCAAAATATGGACGTCAGTCATCCAGGAGTAATGATTGAGGTAGCCAGAAAACAATAACAAAACTTTTTATTTACTGACTACTGTAGTTTTCCCGGCAGAACTTGGACCTCGAGCCAGATCGAGCCAAGACTTTCTGAGATGTTAGGTAGACGGGTAGCTGAGAGAGAGGCAAAGCAAGAGCCTCAGTGGGGCAGACTGTAACGCGAAATCCCCGGAAAGGGTAATCGTGGGTTCGATCTGGCCTGTAAGCTAAGTTTTGCGAATGTCTGAGCATCAATGCGGTTGCATTTCAAACAACAGTTTTTATGAATTTTATTGTGAGAATCATATCCCCTTACTAAAATACTTTGTATCCCGATGAATGACTCTAATTGTACGACGAATGAAAAAGAAATGTATATTACGTCCTTTTATTTACTACACAATGCAAACAAATATGGGAACAACAAAAGGAACAACAACGCCCTAGAAAGGAAAGGAAGTCTTCACAAGGACTTTATAACATAACAAATAATGGTGTGACTACTCGACTATTATGTGGAATTAAACATTCCGTAAACAATATTTAAGCCTCTGCGATTAACGGTTCCTCCTCATCCTTCTTTTCTTTCTTCTTTCCTTTTTTGCTACGACGCTTTTCCAACTAAAAGAATTTTAAAGCTGCATAGAGTAGAAAGCTGTCGAGAATTACACATACCTTTTCGATTTCTTCTTCTGAAGCAACAGGTAACCATTCATCAATGTTTAGTGCGTAATGCTCTTCACCAGGAATTGTCATCAGAAGTGCTCTATAACAGCAAATCTACACAGAAAAATGTGGATCGGAGACGATTCCTTCTCGAAAAGTGAATGTATTAATAGCTCCCTGAACATTTATATAACCTCGCCTCTATATGGGCAAAATAAAGATGACCGTCGTAGATTTCCTACTTGTTACTTCACCATCAAAACCCATTAATAAACATACCTATTAATAAATGGTCCTAAGGCTGGATTTCTATGTGAACATGCAGCTTTCACCACTGCAGCAATGTTTGCTTCAACTTGCTGGTCTGGCATACTAAGCTAAAACGATAAAATAACAATAACTAATACTGTATTAGAATTAATTGTTTTGAGCGGATTTATAAACATGCAGAAATCTGACTAGAATGTAAAAATAATAAAGGATAAAGCTCTCGACGTTGATCAATTCCTGATGGATGCGTCATGCATTCGACTTCACTAATCATCGTCGGAGGTGGTTGAATGCATATCTGGCCTTTACAACGACTCGTGGTGGCCTACCGATGTATCGAGTCAATGGTGCTATCCTCCCAGGCAAGCCTGCCGACCCTGGAGGGTGAAGAGCTTGGTGGGCCATGGGTACGGGAATCGATCGCATGTGTATTGCAAGGCACCTCCGACTACTGCGCTATATGCACAACTACAACGTATCCATAAAATATTCCAGAAAGTCTAAAAAATTCGCAGCAATGAATAAGAAATAGACTAAGACTTTAAAGCAGTGCATGGTTCAAAAAGTGTTCCACAAATTCTAATGCATAAAAGTTTACAAGCTGAAAAGGAAAGAAACACTGTATCACTTACCTTACCAACTACAGCATCGCTAAGTCCCCAAATCGGGTAAACTGGGTCACCTTTGATTGCAAGCTTAACACCATTCTTGAACTTCTGTATGAGTTCGGGGAGATCTTCCCCTAGACCACCTAAATAAACGTCATTATATAGATCTATAAATCCCTTTGTGTCAAACTAACTTTCCAAGACCTACCATTCGATCGTGTGGGGAACCTAGTGCGCAATATTCCCCTAAGAGGTAAAATGTAGGTTGCCATATCCATGTGAGCTACACAGAAATCGTAGTCATCTGTACGGAACTGGCCTTTTATAATCTGTATATGGAAACTCGTTACTTAGATAAAAATTAAGTTGTGTTTACAAGCAATACAACAATACTTAGTACTCAAAACAGAATAAAAATCAGAAACAATCAAGCTAGCTGAGGCCAAATTTGAAATTTTGAATTACCAACCTTTTTGACCACATCTTGCCCAAGAGCTATTTCCGCTCCTGCTTCCACGGCGACTTCTTGCAATTTTGGATCGTTAACAAATGCCAATATCGTTCGCTTCTCTTTGTGTTCAAAGGGGAATGGGACAGGTACAATTTCGTCAGAGTTCGAGACCATTTTAGTCTTAAAATAAACTCCAAATTTAATCCGGAAATTTCTTGAATTCGGATAATATTCAGTCGTTTTTTTACAGCAGCAATTACAGAATAATTCATTTGCTTATCAGTATGCAAGGGAATTTCTCAGTGCAACAAGTGCCAACTCATACTACAGTTCAGTGAGCAATCAAATATTTGGATACTCGAATGGCCCGTCTACACTGATTGTGCGGGCACCAACATAACCTCCATTTTTTCGGAGTTTTTCTGGCCGACACCCAGGAACACCTCTTAGCCACGATGAGGCGGTCGATCTTTGAGAGGTGTCAATTAAATAGATTTGAAAGCAATTCTATGTAAAATCGGGTCAAAATGCAGCTATAAATTGGCATATTTTAGGAGGTCCACTCAAGATCACCCCTCACCAAGGTCTCCCAAGATGAGAATAATCTCGTTACTTTCATTTAGAAACGGATTTAAATGTAGCTCAACAAGTCAAATCAGAGCACCTGTGGTACTAAAATAGCAGCTATCTAGGAAATCTACCATCAATCCACATCTGAGGGCAACTGCTGTTAAAGGCCAATTGAAAAGACCCTATCAAGACGGTCTAGGCATAACGGAGAGGAACTCCTACCAGATCAAAAAATTGCTAATCATGCTAATCAATTAGAAACTAAGCAAGAGTAGGTGGAATTTTTGTGAACAGGAAATAATGGGGACGTACTTGTTTTTCCGTGTTCATGTTCAATTCGAGCCTTAACCTTAACGGTGCGTTCGTATTGTTATAAACGGACGGTTGCTGCACTTCACGATGTCGCAAAAGAGCTTCAGCGACCGAATAGTACTGCGTTTTAACCTTACTTCTAGATAGGAAGATCTTAATATGGTGTGAACTTTTGACCAAACCGCCTACCTGATGAATATGTTAGTCAAGGGCTTATCTGGAAGATCCTTCTCGTCGTCCTGACATAGTCGACCAGGAAATTGTTGCGATGGCGACAGACTAAGCAAAAATAAGAATCAGGATTACAGAAGTAGGAAATAGTTTATTACCAGGTAACAGCGAAACTCAATTCTTTCTTCGATAAGCTCACATGGGGTTGATAAAAGGATAAAAGATAAAGCTCTCAGTGTTGATCAATCCACGAGGTATGCGCCATGCATTCGACTTCATTAAGCATCGTTGGAGGTGATTGAATGCATATCTGGCTTTTATAACGACTCGCGGTGGCCTGCCGATGTATCAACCCAGTGTTGCTATCCTCTCCGACCAATCTGGCACCAATTTGCCGACCCCAGAGGGATGGAAGGCTTGGAGAGCCTTATGCGCAGGAAATCGATCCCATTTGTATTGCAGTGCGCCTCCGACCACTCCACCACACGCGCCCTATGGTTGATAAATAATCTTTACGTTCGGCTAACGTCTCGATGTCTTCTGCTTCATCGCAGCCGATGATCCGAGTTGATGGTCCATGGTTACCATGGTCTAGGTCAAGTAGACGAACAATTCTGTACCATGGTCTCGGATCATCGGCTTTGATGAAGACGAAGACGTTGAAACGTTAGCCGGAAACAAAGATTATTTGACAACCTCATGTAAGCTTATTAAAGAAATAATAGATATTGACTAGTCATACCGAAACTAAGCAAAATTCGATTTTGAAATGTAGTGAAATTGAAATCTACACGCGATTTCATCCTCTTCATAGTCAGAAGGCAATGACGTTGGTCCCTAAATAGGCGTAACTGGACTTACAGATTTCTCATTCGTCGAATGTTGATCCTTTCCATAAAAGTGTACTGTTTCCTGGCTGCTTCACGTTCTTCCCTCTTCAGTCTTCGTTCAAGCCTCTGTTGTCGAGTAATGCCTTGTTTAAGCGCACGCTTACGACCTATAAGTAGTTAAAGAGCCATAGGTATTACTATTCTAAAGTACAATTTCTTACCTCTCAGCTGAGCAAATTCTGCTACAGTGGGCCTCAGCAGTTCAGAGGATAGAGGGTCCTTAGCTGAAGATGTCAGTAGAGTTCGGAACAAACAGAACATCTGAAATCGACCGATAAGGACAGGTTTCTAGAAGTTTCTACGGTTCTACAAACAGGTGATTTGCATCCTAATGGATGAATACAACTGAGGAGAAGGTTTATTAACAGAATTACTTGTAGAAAACGGTGGTAACCAGTAAGATCCCAATGAATGAATGAACAGGCTCACCAGAATTTTATTCGCTCTCGATACGGTAGTTTTTCAGCTAGTCCGCGATTACGAATCGATATTGCGGAAGCGGTCGATGTTGTCGTCGTTTTGGACGGAGTGCGCCATCGATCAGCTATCGTTTACTTGTCGCCATCATACTGGTTTAGCTAATCAGTATTGATCAGTATTGCTGGTTTAGCCTCGACTGATCCTAAGTATAAGCTTCTTCTTTGGTGGTTTTCGAACCGACGTTTAATGAGATCCACCCATACAGTACATTTGTCGTAGTCCGTCGTAGTTTTGTGGTGGCCCCTTTTTTTGTGATTTCCATGATGTCACCTCCGGTTTTCATATGTGCTACGGATTTCTTCCAGGAAAATGACATCTGAGGTGACGATTCCCGACAGCGAAAAGATTCGCATTGTTTCGGATTTTCTTCAACATGCACCACCAGGAGAATTTAACGAGGTGGTCCCATATAACTTCGATGGTCCAGTTCTGTTTTCCATGTCTAATCATCCTCCTTAAGGTGTTCAATGCTGTACGAATGTTGCTCAACAATGATCAGTTATTGAAAGAAGGTTGCTCGCAAGCTGTGGTGAGGTACAACGAAAGCCAGTTTGCCCCGGTGAAGCTCGATGGAGTTGAGAAACAGGTACGTCGGCCTCATAGCACGTTTTAACTGTGTATTTTGTCTAAATGTGTGGTATTAGAACTGATTATGTATCCTTTGTGTTGTCAATGAGAGCTTGGTATTGTAGTCCCAGTTGTTCTATAGTTGTTAACCTTCGGACCAATCGAAGATATCGAAAATGCCAATCAACTTAGTAACTAACTAAGGCAAGCTTCCCCTTGGTCCACTCCAGCCTGCTCTATAGATATTTACGTGTCATCTATAAATTGATGATCGCTTGTAATCTCTTAAGCTTAGGAACACCATACTTTGCTTGGATACTTAGATGGCCCGTCCTCATTGGTTGTGCGGGCTCCAACATATCTTCCATTTTTTCGAAGTTTTGCTGGTTTAGCCATTGTGGTTCCCTGCAGTTCCGGGATCAGCCAGGCCAACGTCCGCCCCAGGTCATCACCACTGCAGACACTAGCCGCCTTTGTGGGTCATTGATTTCCCTCCAAGCGAGTAGTTTGTTACCAGGACGGTAGTGGATCCCGGCGGTTTACTCTTAATTCGTAGGAGTTATTTCGTACTACTAGTTGTTATGAGTTAAAGCGGATTAGAATTTTTAATTGAAAGAACCTATCGGTAGTATAATGAGAGCGCATACTTCATGAATGTTGAACAGCTTACGGATTACTCTGAAGATGAAGACCATGTGGGTGAGCGATTTGGAAGTGTAACCAGGTTCACACAGTAAGCATGTTGACTATGGAGCTGTAACGATTCTTAGCTTTGCTCGTAAAAGAGTGCTATGAGAGTTTTGCATTTCATTCCTAAAAAGTGGATGGAGTTTCACCAGATGAGTTTCTGATTTTTTACTTACTCTTTACTTAAATATGCTCGTTATACAGTTCTATCTGTTTAATTGGGTAGTATTTTAAAACCACTCCATTTGTCTGTATTCATATCGAAGTTGTACTCGACAACAAAGAAAGGTTGAAGGAGAAATCTTGGGCAATATTACATTATTAGATCCCAATTGTTTACTTGGTTTTGTTGAAAAAATGGAGTGCCTTCTTTTGCGAGACGAGTTTTAGTGTGAAGATGGATTTATCTACAATTTCACAAGGTTTGGGTTATGATGACTCTCTATGTTTGACAAACCTCTGCCGTTGCTTGTTTGCTAAATCATCTTCGATTAATTTTCTGTATTTCTATGTGTTATACAATCCTAAGAAATCACAATGTTTTACCTTTTATTTTCTGCCTACTACGATTTTCACGGCAGGGTGCTAAGCGAAATACAACCACAACGTTGCTGAGATATTTACAAAGTTTCGGACTGCAGGTGTCTATGGTGGGGAACGAACGCGCTATTGTCCTTTCCGGGGAGAAATGCGTTCACCACCACACCATACGGGTCCTTCGTTTCGCCAGTATCTCAGCTGTGTTGTGGGCTCTCCAGATCATTCTCGTTGACGGGTGATTGCTGAATGCGCTGATCGATAGAACTAGCTGAGAAACAGGCGAAATGAAAGGACCGCATGGTGTGGTGGTGAACGCGTTACTCCCCGGAAAGGACAATAGCGTGTTCGTTCCCGACCATAGACCCTTGCAGTCGTAAGAAATTTTTTTTCATCTCACTTAAGGGAAACGTCCCATTATAATAGAATTTGTTCTGTTTTCGAAAAGAGTACCTACAGAGCGATAACGTCCATTGCTCCTATTTTTCATTGTGATATATTGTCATGTTGATTCCATTAGAAAATTGTTTGAGATCGTGACTTTGAATTTAGGGCATCAGAAGAAGGCAGATCAGCCAGTTATCCCTTGTTCTGTCTATGAATCCATTAAATCTTTCGAGTGCATCAGCTATTGATCATTGCCCTCAAACGTGTATATTTTGACTTCGGAATCTAGATTACGATTGATAATAGAGATCTGTATAAGATATCTCTGTAATATAAATAATGTATTAATCACAATAATGCTGAATGTTTGCAGAACTCCAGATCGCATGTGCCTGCGGTGAGGATCGAACACGTTATTGTTTCTGGGGGCTAACGCGTTCACCACCACACCATGCGGGTTCCTTCGTTTTGTATGAAAAAAGGACCAGCATGGTGTGGTGGTGAACGCGTTAGCACTAAGCAACGGTGACAGTGTGTTCGGTCTCCATCGCATGCCATGCCATGCAAAAAAGAATAGGCAGTAAATAGAAAAGTGATTGCAGTGTATTAATCGCCGAATGCAAGTTGGGACATGGTGGAAATATTTTTTTTTGTCGATCTTTCGGTATTGTTAAAGAGTAATTAATGACTAGATGATCATTAAGTTTTTCATATAGATTTTAAGTTACCGGATCTATGTAGGGCACTTTTTCAAACGAGTTCATTTGAAAAAGCATGATTTTTCTGTAAATCTTCATGTTAATTTCTTTCAGACTCTAATCACAGCATTCAACGATATCGGAGGCGGACGCTACGTGGATGATGCCTCAAAGAAGTCGTTCAAGTACGATCACCTTCGCAAAGAAGCTAGCGACATCCAACCCTATCCTGCTGAATCAACTGCGTTAGAATCGTGGCGAGCAGCGTTGCAGAAAGTATGCTTTCAATTGCTTATTGTAGTCATTCAATGTCGATTCAGTTTTTGATCACTAAATTTTTAGGAACTGGACATTTATATTGAAGAGCACTATGCTAAATCAGGGATCGGCTGTGTGTTTGTGCGTAATGGGAATTTCACGTTATGTATCGAGTCACATCAATTTCAACCCAAAAACTTTTGGTGTGTTCTTGTTATTTCATTATTTTTCGTTCATTATTATGTGACTTGTTCTCACATTTTTTGCATATCCCAACACCTCTTTTACCCGATTCGTTGCCTCCCAATCTTCATCCACGGAGGTTTTCGAATTTAGACGTAGGTTCTATTGGTACTTGGGCGTTTTGGTTTCTTCATGGATATTGCTGGAAGTTGGTTGAGTTGAGTATATGTGAAATCATGGGATGCCCTTGTTAGAGCTTTTCCAGATTTTCATCACACATAGGTATGGTACCAATATGTAGACCTTGGAGGGAAGGGTCTGACTTTGCCAGGAGCACCTCTATTGTATGAAATCTCTGACAACGTTTTCTCTATAAATTGTTGCCGTATAGCACATTTCATTTTACTGCCTTGATCTTTTTTGTGCAAATTCTATTATTAATTGTTATCTAGTAATGGTCGCTGGCGATCTGAGTGGAAAATTCCTGTCGGTGACGGTAAGATGGGTGCTCAGGAGCTTATCGGGAACGTCAAAGTACAGGTGAGACAAGTGCTAAGTGGTTTTTGGATTTTGTAAGGAACCCTTTTAGGTACACTATTACGAAGATGGAAATGTTCAACTATTTTCTGAAAAGGATTTTAGCGTAAAAATACAAGTAACAGTAGGTTTCTCTCATTGATAAAGCGCCAGTTATCGTTTTTGCTCATGGTCGTTTAGAGCGACGTTGACAAAACGGCGAAGGAGATCCTACAGTCTATTCGGGATGAAGAGGGAAAGTATCAGGTGTTTTTTGTTTTCGTCAATACTTCACAGAATGTTTTTAACTACTGTTTTATTTGTTTTCGACATTAGAAAGTGTACTCTGCGCACCCTTTTATACATTACAAAACCTACCATGATATAACCATTTCAAGAACCTCGCGATGGCATTTATAACCACGTTGTATTTGGTTGCGAAGTATTTGCAAGAATTGTTATCAAATTATATGGGTATCTATATATATATATATATATATATATATATATATATATATATATATATATATACATGTACGCAGTAGTTCAGTATTTCTATAGTTTTTTCTTAGTTTCATTCTTTATACTGCTTCTGCAAGAGGAAATCGACAGTTCCTTGTTTCGTCGTGTTTTCCTTTACCTTTTTGATGAATGACGTGTGACATTTTTCCACGAGATTATTCTTTACTTATAGCATGCTGTACAAGAGAACTACGCATCGATGTCCGACAACACTTTCAAAGCACTGCGACGACAGCTGCCGGTTATTCGTGCTAAAATGGATTGGCATAAGGCAAGTAGTATTTCTTTCGGCAGGTGAACTTTTTTGTGTGTTTCACTTCGACAGGCAAACACCAGGTTTATATTATAGAATCTATTAGCACACAATAGTTAACGTTTCTGCGATTTCGCCTTCTTCACAGCCGTTCTATTCTTTACAAGTATTCTAATTAATTGATGTAGTGTAGCCTCATAGTGTTTCTTCTTCTGTTATGCTGATGGCATAAGGCGTCGTGCTTGCTGTTGCATTGTGGTAACGAAGGACTGGAGCAAAATGTTTAATTCGGTGTTGAATAGTTTACTAGTTTAGTTAGCTTAACAGGTTTCTTTGTCTCGTAGCTTACAAGTACTCGTTGTAGTAAGCTTTTTTTACTATTCTGTTCCCTATACTCTTAAAAGAGCGCGTGTGGGGCAATGGTGGAAGGCAGCCACACAGATACAGATGTGATCGATCCCCCATCCTTGGTCCACCAAGCTTTCCATCCTTCCGTGGTTGGGAAATTGGTAGCATACTTATCTGGGAGGATGGCACCACTGGTTCGAAACATCGGTAGACCACCGCGAGTCATTGTAAAGGGCAGATATGCATTCTATCACCATCAACGATGCTTGTTGAATTCGAAAACGCATTCGCAACCTTCTGCATCGATTTCATTCTATATGGGCACGAAAATTAATTCGATTTCACCTTTGGACCAACATATCAAATTTCATTTTAAACTTTATTGACTGAAGCAAAAATCGATGGAATCTAGAGATTTTCGCTAGTATTGTAATGGTAAATTGACTCTACCGAAATGAAATCCCGATTTTCTAGAGTTGTGAAACATAGTTTTTCTTGCCTTTTTTTTTTCGTCAAGCTAGTACCTTAGATAGGAAATGAATATAAAGTGTGATTTCCTTTAACAGGAGGTGATTATTTCTTTGACTATTGTGCTCCGTTGCTGTACTCGCATTAAATTTTTTTCTAAGCAATAGTGTTCGTTTATGTCTACATGGAAATTTCAACTTCAGTTATTTAACATTAAAATATAACTCTGGAAAACTACATATATCCTTCGGTTCGTTGATCGAACTCTATTCTATGGTTGAAGAGGAGATGGTTCACTGAAGAAGACCTGACTCGACACGAAGGCGAAGCTGCCACGTCGAGACGAATAACAAGCGAGGACCATCGACTCGGATCATCGGCTCTAAGGAAGACGAAGACGTCGAAACGTTAGCCGAAAATAAACATCATTATCAACCTCGTGTAGGCTCATCAAAGAAAGAGTACATATCTATTCTATCAGTTACCAGGCGGATCAGTTCTCAATTCTTCAAATGATCTAGTTATTGGAGGAGAGTTTTCTGTTTTTGAAGAAGTGAAGAGGATACGAATATGTCGTTGTTGCCGTGCAGTACATTTTCCAACATTTATTTTAAAATGTTGTTTGAAGTTGCGCTCACAGAGAATGACATTTATACCATTTTGCTCTACGAGTTTGAAATTAAAAATATCCCAGTTGGTTGAACTCAAAATTTGAGCTGAGTCGAGTCAAATGCAGCGATTAAGATCGCACAATATGCGGATGTCTCGTAAAGTTTAGAGGTAGCGTGGCAGAAGAAGTCTTCGGCGTCCATCTGCAGTTAACGATGACCATCTGGAGCCAAGTTCCAAGCAAGATTTCGAAAAGCTGTTAGAGACGTTTCTGACGAACTCATCGTGCACCATTCAGTAATCGATCGTCATTTTAAACACACCGTAGAGATGAAAATCTTTGTAAGAGGGTACCACACCTTAACGTAGAGCAACGGGGTCGTCGTTATGAAACATGATGTGGATTTCTTTTATGTGACTGGCAATTATCCAGTTCTTGACTGCAGTGTGGGATGCGATGAAAAAACAGTGCTACACACCAATCAACGGTATTGGCGCAATCACTAGACTGCAGTGAGGTTTCTAAACACTTCAAAGCATGAAAGGAAGATTGAAATGGCAATATAGAGGTCCGCATTGTATGAATTCACCTCAAGTTTCTTAATCATGACAATGTGGTCATTGCAGAGAAGTGTCACAAAATCGATGAAACGTTGAGATAATTTCACCATATATGCGTACCAATAGTCTTCCGAAATCGTCTAATTCTTTTACATTGTAGCTTCTCTCCAATGCAGCTGACGCTGCAAAGAATTAAACTATTTCCGTTGTCCTTTCCGGAGAGTAACGCGTTCACCACCACACCACGGTGACCCGGTTGACTGGCTCGCTAAATGTCTGATTTGTATAATGGAATGCTTTATTCGCCAAATCCTCCCGAATTTGCGTAAAATACTCGCTGATTTTTTATCTATACCTAAAGCAAACATACAATAACTTCTATTTAGAATTGATATCACCAAGAATATCTCAGAGTTGATGTCAATACAGTCATGTGTTTTTCTGATGACTACTGACTACTAGAATTTTTGTGCTTGTAGCCTGTAAAACTGTAGAAGAGCATTTGTTTTGTCTGTTTAAGGGTGTATGTAGAGTTTATAAATTGGTCTTTCGTTTTTAAACTTTAGAAATAAAGTTTCGGAGAAAAAGAGCAAACGAGAACTAGACTTGAAAATCGAAATCGATCGAATCGAAAGAGAAAATCGGAATTGAGAGTTTTTCAACTTTCGCTTTCGAAATACGGAGAGCAGTAGACAAAAATACGCTTTTCTAGCCCTGTTAAATTCTAACTGGATGCCCTGTATTTTCTTGCTAAAAACCTGTGTATTCCACTAATTTTTATACCAGTAAACTCCATGATAAGTTGAGATGTATTCGGTTGGATTTAGATGTCTCCATTGTTTTCGCTCAATTTACAATCTTCTCAGTTTGTTATGTGGTAACCAACTTGCTTGCCCGTTTACTTGAGATGAGCGGAATCCTATATGGTAGTAGTAAACTTGTTCGCTTGTTTAGTGGTAACATTATGCAAATGTATTGAATTTTAACTAGAGCTAGTCAAAGAATTACTATTGAATTACTTCGCAAAAATGTTAGATTAATTGCCTGTCCAAGCTGAAAATCCGACAAACATAGCATTGCATAGTCACATTCAATCTTTACATGTATTCATAAACTTAACATGAGCTTATTTCATTCCTGCGATGTGTTAGTGGCTAGATTTTGAAAGCTCTCTTTTATTTTTTATGGGGATTTATACTTAGTGAACTTGAAGTATATTGGAATTGAATTATAATTTAACATGGAGAAGCATAAAGCTGTCGGCGTTGACCAAGCCCTGAGGGGCACCCCATACATGCGACTTCGTTAGGCATCGTTGGAATTGATTGAGTGCATATCTGGCCTTTACAACGACTCGCGATGGCATACCGTTGTATTGAGCCAGTGCTGCTATTCACTCAAACAAATCGAGCACCCATTTGCCGACCACGAGGTGATGAAAGGCTTGGTGGGCCTGGGGCGTGTGGACCGATCTCATGTGTATTGCACGGCGCCTCCGACCACTGTGCTACACGCGCATAGCTTAACATAAGCTTATTTAATTCTTGAGATGTGTCAGTGGCTAGATTATGAAAAGCCGCTCTTATTTTTCGTCGGGAATTATACTTACTAGACTTGAACTGTACTGAACTTGACGTATAATTAACTTGGAATGCTTGGTTTATATTCACATTATAATTCAATCGGTGTAATCTTTCATGTCATCTTGGAAGGCTGGATTTCTTCCATTTGTCGAATTTTCATTTCAGGTGCAGTCATATAGAATTGGTCAAGAAATGAAGCCGCAGTGAGCTCTGCAAAACTGCCCATTTGCTGCTACAATTCTTTCTTCTTTCAGTTCTGTGCTCTTGTTCGAATTCATATATTTTCTAAACCGTTATGCAGTGGTTTTTTTGCTTTGGTTATCTGCACTAGTTGGAAACTGATTTTACAGGTTTATCTTCGTGAAGTCATTTTGTACAATATTTTTCTTTTTTTTCAGAATTTCCATAAACCTCGATGATTTTCTTCTGAGTGTTGTTATGACAGTTTTCTATGGTCACCATACGTTTCCTCTCAAGTTGTTAACGTACAGTTCTTTACAAATCCGGCTGTAAAGCTTCTTCGACTCCACGATGAAAGTAGTTAGCTATTGAATTTGGCAATGTTTTCTCTTGAATTCTTACCGATGCCTATCCTCGCGAACTGTTTCGCCGTTTAAATTATGACATGTTTTGCGATGGTGAACTCCTTGTATATTTTAATAAACTTTGTTTGCAATATCCCCGTCCATATTGCTTATGAAGTCCTTTCGTCTCATGTACTTCCCTAGATATGGACAGTACGTATTGATATTATATTTACACTGTTTGATGTATTTGTGCTGGCAATGACTTCTATTCCGTTTCATTAAAACTTTATAAATAGAGCGGGGAAGTTTTTTTTCTCAAATTAAAATTTTCGGGTTATCTTCGTATTTTTGTTGAGCAAACGCGAGGTGTTACTATTCTTTGTTCACGATTAAGCTGACGTTTCGGCGAATTTCGCCTTCTTCAGAGCCGCTTTCTATGAGGTTTCCACTAAGTATGTCACGTAGAGACCAACCGCACAAAAATCACGTGGAAGTATAATGTGCACATTATACTAATTATAATATAAGTATAATATATATAATAGTATATTATAATATACTAATTATAATATAAGTATAATTAATTATAATAATAATATAAAATTAATTAATTAATTATAATATAATTATAATAAGTATAGTATATATATAATAGTATATTATAATATACTAATTATAATATAAGTATAATAGTATAATGGGCACATTATACTTCCACGTGATTTTTGTGCGGTTGGTCTCTACGTGACATACTTAGTGGAAACCTCATAGAAAGCGGCTCTGAAGAAGGCGAAATTCGCCGAAACGTCAGCTTAATCGTGAACAAAGAATAGTAACACCTCGCGTTTGCTCAACAAAAATACGAAGAAAATCACTTGATCAATGCCGAGGTTAATAGAAAGTCGGTCGTGGCAGTTTTCGGGTTATTTGACGTTACTCGTTCATTAGGAACGCTTGTAGCGCAGTGGTCGGAAACGGCCTGCGATGCACTTCGGATCGATCCCGGCACACCGGGCTCACTAAGCCTTCCATCCCGTCGGGGTGGACAAATTACTACCAGACTTGTCCGGGAGAATAGCAGCACTGACTCGATACATCGGTAGGCCACCGTGAATCATTGTAAAGGCCAGATATGAATTCAGTCACCTCCGAGCAATGCTGGATGAAGTCGAATGCATGACGCATCCTTCAGGAATTGATAAACGGCGAGAACTTTGTCCTCAATTTATCCTTTTTACTCGTTCGTCTTCTATGTAGTGCATGACAAGTGGGATACTACATCTTTTATGCCGGCAAAGTGGTCTCGTCTTGTCGGTAACGTCTCGTTGCCATGACCCACATTCGAATGATGATTCAGTTGTCAATTCGGTGACGTCAACGTTGGTTGTTATGGTAGAAGACCAGTTATAGTGACTTCATTTCCAGTTTTTCCATGAATGGTTTCGTTTCCGGAAGATATTGTCCGAACTGTACCTGTGTAATTTCCTTTAAATAGGTTACAGTTCCCATGCATTCAGTGCGGTGTTACTAGTTGGTCTTTCCAGTATTGCTACTTAGTGCTCTTGGTGTTGCACAAGTGCCTTCTCTGCCCTAACAAGCTCCATATAAAGGGGATTTTTAATAACCAGCAGGGGATCAACTTTTTTGGGTATCATTTCATATCACTTCTTCCAATGGAACGGGGTTTTCTTTCTTTGACTACGTTGTTGTCATGGTAGACTATTGTTGAGGTTTTTATACTAAAAGAACAATTTTGTGAAATACAAAGTAAAATATTATTACTGAAGGAAAGGCTAATATTAAAACTGTTTACTATTGGTGGTTAGGGGATTATCTTTCAATAGCTATGTGAATTTGGAGGTTGGTTTTATTTACTTTATTGATTTTATTTTACTGGCGTAGCAAAGATGTATTATTACTATGAAAACTATTGACGCTTTTACGTCCTGTTAATTCAATCTATTCAACCTCTTTTTCTTTTGTTTCTCTAATTATTCTAACTATTCTCGAATATGCCTGTTAGATAGCTTACTAGTAGGTTCTTACCTCCGTGGGCAATGTCATGGTTCTGTGGACCTCTTCTACTGTGCTTTGGTGGGTTCCGGTCGGCTGCAGTTAATTTACCTCGTATTTCTTAGTCATTTAGCCATTGTTTATTATTAGTTTAGTTATTACTAGTTCTGGTTATTGATTTTTTAGCTGTTTCTTTTTTGTTTCGCTCTTCTCTTCACGTTTTGCATTCATCAGTTTGCTGTTTATGAATACGTATGTTCCAGATATGACAACCATATCAACGACTGCTGCAACTATTACAGCTAATCTTCCGAGGTAAATTTTGTATATGGTGAAGTTTATAATGGATTTTTCTTAAAAGAATATTTTTCTTAGTACCGACCATTTTGAATGCAAGGTGATTGTTTGGTTACTTTGTTAGCCACAATTGTCTGTGTTTTCCATTTGGAAGCATAACTGGTTAGTGAGCTGTGGTGACTTCAAAGGCAAGAGTTGTGAGTGCGTTATTGAGTGATGTAGACTACTATTATCCTGCAACGATTATTCTTTTAGGTTTCTACGAAATCCAGTGGTCAGATTGGGAGATTTAAAGTCTTAGGATTTGGTAGAGTATTACTCGTTTCTTTTGGACTTTTTAAATTGCGTTATTTTGCGTCTCTATAGCGCGAAGTGCGTGTGTGGGGCAGTGGTCGGAGGCACCCTGCGACTTAGACATGGGATCGATCTCCGCCTCCATGGGTCGGCAAATTGGTACCAGACTTGTCTAGGAGGATTAGAGCACTTGCTCGATACATCGGTGGGCCATCACGAGTCATTCATTGTAAAGGCCGGAAATGCATTCAATCCCCTCCAGCGATGCTTAATAAAGTCAAGGGTATGGCGCATCCCTCAGGAATTGATCAGCGCCGAGAGCTTTACCCCTTATTTATCCTTTTTATAGCACGAAAATCCGTCATTTACTTGTACTCTAATTACTTTTGCCTTTTGTATTGGAATCATTTGTTGTCTTAGTTTATTGTAGTGCTTATGCGATTTGTAGCACTTATACTAGCGGTATTTACCTGAGTGCCGTCCGTCACCTGCAAGAGTTTTGGCTGGATCGTTTCGTTAAACTGAAGCACAGTGGCAGTAAATAGTAGAATAATAGACACTAAATAAAAAGTTAACATGGTGATTTCGACTATAGCCTAAGCTTAACTAGGTTCAATGCTGATTTGTGCTCTCCAGATCATTCTCGTTAACGGGTGATTGCTGATGACACCGTTAAGTTAGAAAGCCCTCTAATAGAAAGACAAACCAAGAGCCGCAGTATTACAGTGGTAGCACGTGAGCTTTCGAAGGGGTAGTCGAGGGTTCGAATCTGGCCTGGGGTCGAAGGTTTCCAAATATTTCAACGTCATAGTGGTTGCAGCACGTTGGTTCGTTTCCATTCGTACATATCCTTGGTGTGCGTATTTGTAGCTCTCAATATTTTCATATTATTATAAGGGTCAACCATTGTTTCTTTTTTTTGTGCGAAGGTGTAAGATGATTTCCTTGTCTTGGTAAATTTGTCTCTGTAGCTTTTCTTTGGGTTTTGAAAATCGCATGTTTTGTTCCTTCATCCCTAGAAATCAAATAGTTTCTTTTGGCAGAAAACCAATCAACTCATAAGTTACTTTCATGATTGGAATTATTAGTGTGTATACTACACTTAATTCTAACAGTTTGGAGCTGCGATTATCTTTTCGAGTAGAGGTATTGACGAAAGTTCTTCATTGGCAGGTATGCTGGTGAGCTCTTCTACGTACTGAGAGCTCAACTTAACCACCTAATCAGGGTTTGTTTTTTTTGAACCATTATTGTGAGTATCGATACATTGAACCTAAAGAAGTGAGTGATCTGAATGGTCAGCAATTTGTTCGCAGAATTGGTCTGAATTTCATGTCCATGCACTTTCTGCCGTTTTTTCTCCAATGTTGTATGTTTTTGTAGCAGTTCTTATGGCCTACTGTCCACTTTTTTCCGTGTAAAAAGTTGAATACTATTTGGAAGTTTTGTGACCCATTGACGGTTTTGTATTTGGTTCTTATTAACATAGCATTAATGAGACCCTTAAAGGTTATAACTACGCTTGCAGAATCACTGTTTCTGATATTTGGAAAACAAATGTTATGTTGCTGATAAAAAGAACAAAGTGATAGTACGTTGTAATATAATTGTCATACAAGTAGAAATACAGGATAGAAATTCGTACCTAAGTAATTATTTGCTTATTTGTTTTCTAGAATATTTTCTAGTGAACATGTCAAGAAGCTGAGCACTTTTACTAGGTGTTGCCGCAGTTGTAGAAAGGTCGTAAATTTATAACCCAAAAAACCGACTTTCTATAAACCCTGGCATAAATAATCAATATGGAGCTCATAGGCGCTGACGCGAGGTTCATATCAGTTGTAGTTGTTGCCGTGATCGGGTGGCTGACGTTTCGCTAATTTAACCTTCCTTAGGAACTGGATGTATTTTATGTAACGATACCCATATAATTCGGTTAACTGTCTGTAGTACTAGTGAAGGTCTAATATATAGATGAACGCTATTTGATTTAAAAACTAACCACCGTTTTGTTAGGTGTGGGACCACCTTTGTGTTGTTCACGTGAGGTGTTGAGCTTATAGAGTAGTTCAGTATGATGTTTCAGATTGGCTAATTCAACAGTAACAACTTTGACAACGACCGTGCTGCCAGCTGTCGATGTGGCGGTTACAAATGCTACAGTTTTGAACAGTACGACTGCATCAACACCATTGTCATCGGTTCGACCATTCATTTGAATGTTTCTTTTTTTAAAATTAGCCCTTCGGCCATTAGTGTTCTCTGCGGAGTGGCACTCATCGTATCGG